ACATCATTAGGAAGTCACTTGTGAGGCTGTTTGACATTTGTATCCCCCACTAGTCTCTGAGTTCCGGGAGGGCAGTCATCATCGTACTCACTGGCCTCCCCAGTGACCAACACAGGACCTGGCACTCAGTAAGTGTCCTTAAGCAGGATAAACCCAGCTCTGCTGCTTCCTGGCTGGGTACCCTTAGCTAAGTTCCTTCCCCTCTGTGAGCTTCCCCTGCTCATCCCTATGAAGGGGCCAGGTGGGCGGCCCCCAACTCAGGCTGCCCATCTGAATCCCTGAGGGACTTTTCCAAACCCCACAGGTGACCCTCCTCATCATCACTGAATTGGGAGTGGCCAGTGGGTGGAGGTATAGATGTTGTAAGAATGAGTGAGTGTGGATAATGGTAGAAGCTGGACAATGAGTACACGGGGGTTCATTAGACTCTTCTGTTTACTTTGTGTGTGTTTGAAATTGTTCATAATAAAAAGCTTTTTATAAGATTGATACACCAGCTAGGGCTCCTCCCCAGTGAGTGGTGGAGAGCCAGGAAGGGTATTTGGGGAAAGCTGCCGGAGTGGATCTAAAGCACAGCTCTGGCTAGAGGCTCTCTGAGGCTGCTTCCACCTCTCAAAATTGGCAGTGATTCTTTCCTGCCCACGTGAGTGCTGTTCACTGGTGGAAAAATACCACACCCTGAGCATACGCTTCTGTCCTCTCCCTTAATCCCCCTGTGGCCCCAAACACCTCCAGGTCAGTTGCCCAATCTTCCAACTCACAAAGTCCCCCAAACACCAGTCTCTACTAGTAGCCTCTTCTGGGCTCCCTCTGCATCTCGCACCCCCAGTCCCAGCTACCCTCCTATTCGGTCTGCTTTTGCAAGACCCTAGGATGACTGGAACTGTCTCTCTCGTTGTCCCCAGCCAGAGTGCCTGGCATGGCAGAGGAATTGATACGTGCCAACTGGATTGGTTGAATTGCAATGAAGATATCTTTGTGGCCCCCAAACTCTGTGATCCTGGGCAAAAAACACTTCTCCTTGGCTTCTTTCTCAGTGAAATGGAATGATAATCCTTGCCTCATACTGCTGTGGGAAGGACTCAGTGAGATCATAACTATAAAGATTTGGCAAGTTGGGTTGGGATGTTCACCCCCTGCAGAGCCAGCCCCTCCCTCCGGGGGGCGGGGGTGGGGGTGGGGGGCTCCTGTAACGCCCTGGGATTCCCTCATGTTGGGCAGTGAGTGGCTGTTGGCACGTCTGTCTCCTAGACAGCCCTGGGGGCCAGAGGGAGGGGCTGTAGGCAAAACCATCTCCATGCTCCCAGTCCCCATTGTCCAGCACTGGGCCAAGGAGGAAGGGAGGAGCAGAGCCGGGGAAAGGTAGAAACGGAGGTAGGAAGGGCCTGCTGGCACTCCTAGAGTCCCCAGGGGCCAGAAGGCAGCCCTCCCTGGGGCCTCAGCTGACAGATGAAGCCTGGCAGGGTCCACTCTTGCAGCAGGACCCTCAGGTCACAACGACAAACACTTCCTCTCCAGAAAGGTGGTTCTGCCATATGGGACTCCAGCTTAAGTGCAAGGTGGGAAAGCGGCTGGTTCATCCTGCAGCCTGTGGATGTCAGGATGTCAGAGGCATCCTGTCCAGGGGCAGCCCCACCATTACATTACTCTCCACTCCCGGATGTGCTGTGTGCCCTCTTGCCTGGGCCTTGGCTGTTTCCTCAGCCGGGGAGTGCCCCCCTGCTCCCCTCCTCCACCCAGTCACCTTTGGTTTATCCAAGATCCCAGCTCAAATAGCATCTCCTCCTTAGAGTCTCTCCCCTCTTCTCAGGACACTTCCTCACATCTCTGTGGCTCCCCTCGTATTTGGTCGAACCACAAATACAGCGTGTACACACTCTCTCAGGGGTCCTGACAGTACCCCCTGTAAGCTGGATACTGTTGGCCCCATTTTACAGATTAAGACGCTGGGGTTCAGAGTGGCTAAGCACCTTGCCAAAATTCTTTCAAGGCAGAGAAGACAGTGGATCTGCCCCAGACCTTCCCACTCTGGGGAAAAGGAGACTTGGTGGGGTGGGACAGGACGGGAGGAAAGTCACGGCCAAGACCTCAGCTCCTGCAGATTGCCCAGTGCCAGGCCTGGGTGTGGGGCCCAAGAACCAGGAGACTCCCCACATTCACAGCATGTCGGAGCAGCATGCAGGAAGGTGGGGACAACACCCCGGAGCCAGAGGTGGCAATGGTGAGAACACTTAGTCCCTCAGTCCCATCACAGGTAGACCGAGCTGGGCTGGCGGCCTCAGCCCCTTCCCCGTCAAGCACCTGCCTTCCTTTGCCCGCCTCTCCCTCGGCCTGAGACTCTATTTGTCTCCCTTCTCGGTCTCTGAGAGTATCCCTTTATCAGCCTCAAAGTGCCCATCGCGGTTTCTCGGCTCTGGCTCTCTACCTTGGTCTCTCTCAGCCTCTGAATCTGTCCCAGGGTCTCCCTTGATCTCTGAGGCTTCTCTTTTCAATCTCTGTCTTTGTCCTGTCATCTGTCCCCTGCGCCTTGACACTCTTAATCTTGGCCCCCATCTTTGTCTGTCTCTCTACCTCCTCACTACTCTGTTGCTGTTTCTCTTTTCAGAAGTCTGTCTGTGGTTGATCCGTTTGTCTCTCTGCCTCCTGCCCCCTGCGTCTTTGTCCCTGTCCCTTCCCGTCTCTGGGTCGCACTCTTTCTCTGTCTCCCAGACCCGGTACCATCTCTCTGCCACACTCCCTGTCTTCCTGCCACTATCACTATCTTTCGGAGTCTCTCACTCAGCGTGTGTGTCTCTCAAGCCATGTCTTCTCCACAGCGCCCCCATCCCCAGCCTGACAGCAGGCCCTGCTTCTAACGTTGCTCCCGTGTAGGGGGTGGGGGACCCCCGGGCATCATTCCAGGGTCTGCTCCATCTGGGTGGCAGTGCTGACAGGCGAGATAGGGATCAGACTTGGCTCTGTCCGGGCCTGAGCAAGGGGGCACCACCAGGCTACGCGGGGGCGTCTGGGTGCTTGCAAATGTTTGCATGTGTGCACATCTGGGTTTGTGTGCGGGTCTCCCCGTGTGGGGTGGTCTGGGTGTCTGTCTAGATGTATTTGTGAGCGTCTGGGCCTGTTTATGTCTGCCTGCGAGCATTTGTATACGTGTGTCTTTGTGTGGGGCTGTCTGGGTGTAAGCACCTTAGCCTGTGGGTCTATCTACCCACGAGTGTCTCCAGGGCGTACATGCGTGGTGTCTGTGGGCACGTATGTGTAAGTCCCTGGGAGTACCTGGTGTCGTATCTGTGTGCTTATCCATGGGCCAGGCCCTCTGCTCGCATTCTCTCACGCAGCCACCACTGAGATACAGATCCTATTACCCCAGCTGACGGGACGTGGGGTCTGGAGACAGACCTGGTTCAAATGTTGGCTTCTTCACCACTAAGCTGCCTGACCTCAGGCAAGTTGGCTAATCTTGAGCAATCCTGAATTCATTCAGCAAAAATGTATCGATCAAAAACAGATAAAGCTAATCCATGGTGCTAGAAGTCAGATAGGAGCCACCTTGGGAGGGATCGACAGGGAGGGGGCCCAAGGGAGCCTTTGGGTGCCGTCAATGTCTTATTATCTTGATTTGGGTGGTGTCTATGTGGTGGTTGTTCATTTGGAAAACATTAATCAAGCTGTTCATTTCAGATGTGTGCACTTTACACACATAATAGAAAAATATAGAAGTTACAAAAAATTCATTGAGCTTCTACCATTTTTCCAGGCATGAAATAACAGTAACAATAGTAGTGTTGGTGAGTGTGTGTTTTTAACATTTCAGGAGGTGGGTCTGTCCAGGCTTTAAGCACTCCCAGCCCATTCCTCCCCAACCCTGTCCCAACCACGATGGCACAGGGACGACGGGAGAGGGACCCCAGTCCTGGGCTGGATTGTTCCCCTGCCCAATCTCTCCCGGCTGTTTTCTCATCAAGACAGCTATGATTTTCCCTCTGGGTTTTCCGACACTGAAGGACATTTTGCTAGGTAACTACTGGCATTCAGTGAAGCTGGTAACAGAGTGCTCTGTAGCAGGGTTTAGAGCAAGAAATCAGGGGTGTAAGATGTCCAGTGGACAGACACCACGCCTGCTTGATGCATTCAGCAATGACGGGCGATGCCTGGATACACACATTCCTGATCTCCACCTGCAACACCCTTACGAGTCACCTGTCTGTGACTCAGTAAAACACAGTGAGCCTCCACTATATGCCAGGCCCTCCACTGGGCCCTTCAGCACACCTTGCCTCATCCTCACTAGAACTGTCTGTAAAGGCCATTATCTTCATCTTCCAGCTGAGGAAACGGAGGCTCACAGAAGTGAAATGACATCTCTCACCTCACACTGCAACAATAGAGATTCCGAGCTCGTTCTGCCTGCTTCTAATCCTCTGTCCTCCCTGGATGTGTCCTTTCTGTGGGTTTCTGAGGTTGCCCGAGCCGTAGTGAAGAAGCCAAATTCATTTGCTTTTGCCCTCTTGGGAGATTAATTTTTTTTTTAATTCATTAGGAAAAGTGGAGTTTGAGCTGCCCTTTGGTGACAGCATTCACTCCTGATAGGGGTAGGCTTTCTTCATTGCCTGACACGCCCTTCCAGCCCAGAGAAGAGCAGACGAGGCAGGTGTGATAACATTTTACCTCTATCACAAGTATTCAGCAGGGCGTACTTAATATTTGAGAGAACAAATGAATGAACTAATCGTACTTCACTGACATACTCTCCACTTGGCACATATCACACCACGTTAAGATTATCTCTTCTGTCCCTGCCTCCACTCTATATTCCTTGATGGCAAGGAATCTCCGGATTTCGACAAGCAGCCCAAAGCCTGGCACAGAAAAGGGGGCCCCACGCATATTATAAATAAATATTATAGATAAATAAGAGAAGACCTTGGAATTTATGTCTGGGCTTCAGTAAGACCCTTAAGTCCTGTGAATTTCACACCCCACTAAACAACAGCAACACCAACTAGTTTCAATAAGTGGTTTTATTACTGGTTAGATTTTACAAATTCTGATATTCGAACAGACTTCCACCTTAAAATTCTAAAACAACAAAGCGACCGTTGGAGGGGGTTTGATTTTTCCTTTTTTTTTTTTTTCTTTTTAGGACTATTCAAAGTAACAAACTTTTTTTTTTTTTTTTTTTTTACATTTTTGCTCTGGTCATAAATATACAGAGAGAAAAAGAGGGAGAGAAAAATGAACAAGTCATCCAAAGTATGGAGATAAAACAGTATTCCTAAGGCACGTGGCAGTCTTTGAAAATACAGAAGCTCTAGCCAACTTAAATTATTTGTTGTTTTTCCTCGCTCAGTCCACAAAACTGTACAGTGACACAAATGTTGTGTTGCAGATAGATTTTCCAAGTAATTCCTCAAGTCCACACTGCTGCATTAGCCGGACGCACAATTATTTTCTTCCTCTGTTTCCAGGCGAGATCCTAAAATGTGGTTAGTTAGTTGCTCAAAGCCTCTATTTTAAAATACACTTGGAATTCAACTAAAGATAATTTCTTTTTTAAAGAAATTGGGGGGGGGAGGGCGTGAGTCACTAGAAAAGGTTGGTGAGAGTCGTTTGTGAGGGGCTGTGAGGCTCGTGGCCCTCCAGGTTGCCAGGCACAGAAGTTAAGACGGACGTCACAGTTGGCAGGGCCGGGCTGGTCAAGTCTGTGAGGGTGGTGGGCGTGCTGGAGGGGCTGAGCGAGGCGTTGGAGAGCTCGGAGGCCGGCCCTGATGGCGTCCCCGTCGGCAACGTTGCCTCTGTCGACTTGTCCACAGCCGTGTTTTCCTGCCGTAAGAGGTTGCGCCTGAACTTGGCCCTAGCGTTCTGAAACCAGACCTGTGTGGGGCAAGAGAGAGAGAGAAGGGCTGGTTAGGAGAAGGGAGGCAGGATCCGGAGAGCTGCAGAGCATTTCCCCCAGAGATGCTAATCTGGGTTTTGTGGAGAGGGGGATTAAAAAGTTGGGCTGGCAATTTTTGCTCTTAATAAAATAAAAATTTCCTTTTCTCTAATGGCTAAGTTACTGGGTTTCTCTTTCTGTTAGAAGGTTCCAGAGCTGGGGCGCCTGGGTGGCTCAGTCGTTAAGCGTCTGCCTTCGGCTCGGGTCGTGATCCCGGGGCCCTGGGATCGAGCCCCACATCGGGCTCCCTGCTCGGCGGGAAACCTGCTTCTCCCTCTCCCACTCCCCCTGCCTATGTTCCCCCTCTCACTATCAAATAAATAAATAAAATCTTAAAAAAAAAAAAAGACTTAATTAAGAGACTTACACCAAAAGGTTGAAACTTGTGTAGATGTTAATGTTCCAACCAACTGTTAAAAAAATTTTAGGGGAGGGGCGCCTGGGTGGCTCAGTTGGTTAAGCG